CTTCAGAGCTAACTGAACCCAGCGAATTCATGCACATTTATCAGGTCGTCTCTTCATCTGGGGAGTGGGGAGCCGCCTTTCACTTCACGTTGTGAAAAGAGGATGCTGCCACTGTTTACTTTCAAGCTACTTCTGCCCCACTCAATTTAATACAATATATTAAGGACACTCATATATAAATAAAATTGTTTAACAGACCTCAAAGCATTGTGTCAAATACAATAAAAATACGAATTATAAGAATTTGTTCATGTAGGAGAAAAGAAATAAAATATTTTTCAAACAACAAATAAATATCTCTATAATCATTAAATCGACTGTTAAATTACGGCTTGTTACTAACTTTTTCTTGGTTGTAAAAGGGAATTAGAATGCCGATGATAGTGGCGAGATTATGCTTGTGCTGATTTCGAATATGGCGATAACTTCAAAAAATTTTTGGGACCTCAGCAATTGCGGAATACATATAATTTGCTACATTTCAAATATTACACAGAGCTAATAACTCAGAGTCCAGCCGTTATTGCAACGGCTCTCTTAATCAGCATCGTATTCGTCGTACGCACCGCATGCGTAATTGCAGTATCACATAACATTCTGCTTCCTCCTTAAATTGTTACATCGGGAGTATATTTGCCATAGTTGCAGCGCTTGTCAGGTGGGTGGGCAATCGCTGTTTATTTTTATTTTTAGTTGTTATCGGGAAGATGCTGCTGCCCATTTCTTATTTTCATTTCCCTCTGTCGCGTCTTACGACACCCACGGGACGATATGGGGTAGTGGATATTCTCACACTGCCACTACACGGATAATGTTCAGTCTGTGTGCAGCCGTGGACTTTGATGGGTTGTAACGGTATATAACTCTGTATATTATGCGCCGTGTTGATTAATGTACCTCGCCTTTTGTAAAAGATACTGCCAGATTAGTCTAGTGGCCGTAAGCCGGGTAAAATCCCGGGTCGATCCAAAAGCAATTATTGGATTTATATAAGAAGCAGCCGGGAGTCAGGAATTTGGCGATGTTTTACACCTGTTCCTCGGAAGCACTCAAAGTACCCGTTCTATCTGGTCGTGTCGGATTGCCTTCCCTTCGAACTATAAGAGTGAGGAAATAGAAAGTGTACCTGTAATCGCGCATCCACTTTTGTACTCTTATAAGGTCCTGCGCAGATGGCTAGTCTCCGATGAGACTAATTCGATTACCATGTCTATCGAATCCGAACTACCATGTCTCATGTTGTAATCAATAACATTAAGTACTTTAATAAATGTTCTTTAATTGACAGATTCTGTCCCTGATTTTAGTCCCTGAATATGAAATTTTTATCAGTCATGGCTTATAATGTTTGAAAGATCTTTCATTATTACACGTAAAAAATATAGTGCTACGTTAACTCTCTTATTTCATTGAACAGTTTGTTTGCACAAGGGGATGAACCCGCCTTCGTATGCATGTTATGAAGCATATTTTACCTTTTTCCATTCATTGTTGCAATGTTTGTATATGAACGCGTAGAAAATGAATAAACATTTTTTTATCAGAATCCTTTCTAGGCGTGCACACAAAATCGCATTAAATTTCATCGTTATCGGATTAATGTTTATAGGAACGCATAGGGGACAAGTAAAGAAAATATAACTTTTTATAGATAGATTATAAAGTTGAATATGGTTTGACGATTGATAAAGTAATGTACAAGGTAGAGTCTTAATAATAATTGTGCATGTTTCAAGTGATGACATGTGGATCTGAGACGTAGATCATTGCCGGCGAGCTATTGAGAGAGCTATGTTCAAAGTTTCTATGCGTAACAGACTTCGTAATGAGAATATACGTAGTAGTATCAGAGTAACCGATTAGTCTATCGTATCAATAAGCTGAAGTGTAAATTGGCCGGTAATAAAGTTAGGCGAACCGATAACAGATGATTAAGAATTGTTTTTGAGTAACAGCCTCGTAACGCTGAGCGACGGTCATTACCTATATTATAGACTTAAAATAACCAGACAAGCAACAGGGAGCTTAAGAAGAGAGATTCTGGTTTTGCTACAACATATATATCTAATGCAGATCACCAATCCCTTCCTCCTATAAAGATAGTATATCTAGGTGACACAGCATTACTCTACGTTACAAAAAATTATAACTTTCTTAGGAATGAAACATATCTAGATAGGAAAGAAAAACATTATCTGAATACAAACTTTTATTTACAATCGACGAAGCCGTTTCAGAGAAAAAAACTACATAATGTATAACATATACACAAGAATTGCTCACTTAGGGTCAGTTCACACAGAGATGCGATGCCGCGTAACGCATTGCGACCTCACACACCTCACGCAGACTCACCATTACACTGTTAATTTCAGTAAAAGTAAAATAAATGAATTTTCAAAGTTAGGACTAACTGGAGTTAATTCGATTTTTCAACAAGTTTCTTTAAAATTATAACGTTTATTAAAGGACTTAATGTTATAGATTATATGAGACGTGGTAGCTCGGATCCGACAGACACAGTGAACTACTTTTAAGGATTTTTTCGCGGTTACTTTGCTTGTTTTTAATACCCGACGTTTAAAGCTGACGAAACACTCACACATCCTAGACGCACCCCGCCATTACATCAGATTTGATAAACCACAAAAATTATTAACAAGAATGATTGAAACGTGAGTCTATTGAAATCAATACGAGTAAAGAAACATCCAAATTTGGAAGCTAGAATGTCTACCTGCTTGGGATCCTGTAATTAATAAAATTGAAACTAAGCCTAAGCATAACACTGCAAGACTTCAAGATACAATAAGTTCATTCGGCGTAGATTGGACCAAAAGTAATTGTTAAAAAGCTGAAGGTACTCCGGGTTAACTCTGACATCGGGACGTCAAATCAACTCAGTCCTCCGTGATTTTGGATGTTGGAAAGCGCTCGGAAAGTCGGGTATTAAAGTCAAGTAAATTAAACGCGATAAAATTCATATATCATTAAGTAATTTATATTAGGGTGGAGTGTTTTTTTTTTTTTAAATTTTAGATACGGCGGAGTGCGGAAACTGTGCCCTGTACTGATACATTCAGAATATATCAGGACAGCAAACATAAATTTTGACTGGAAGTACAGCCTTCATGGCCATTGAAAATTTCAAAAATCCTGAAAATAAGGGATTTTGGTAAATGTGAAACAGGTACAAAAAGTTGAGAAAATCGTATATTTTATTAAATAATTTAACACTTTACATTATATACAGTGAAAATAAAATACAAAAAATAACGTACTTTCCATTAAAATAAAAATAAAAACATCTAAAATTATTAATTTTTCGCTGTTTGGTGAACTACGACTGAGGCTACGAACTCTTTTTTTGTGTTGAAGACCGGCATGATATTGCACGATTTTAACTTGTTTCGGATCCATCCTTCACGCTTAATGCATCTTTCAGTAGCTTGTGAGTGGCATGTCATTTTGCGATATGTAGGGAGAATCTCCGTTTCGACTATTTCAATATTCCGAATAGCTCTATAAATTACGTTGGTTTGTGTTGTTTGATCAGAGGAGGCTCCGATACAAAGCTCCAATCAATCAAATCTGTATACTCAGCGGCAGAGAAGTTAAATGATAGGTAATTTAAACACTCGTATCGGCGCCAAGCCCGAAGTCTGCTCTCGTATTTTAACAATGCGCCGGAGTGCTAATTCTTTGATATGGTTGCGATCTCATCAACATTTTGCTTAGTATGCTTGTCTGCAAGCATACTAAGCGAAAACATTTTGCTTAGTATGCTTGCAGACAAGCATACTAAGCAAAATATTTTCGCTGTGGCCGAAGTACCCATTGCGTTGAAGCACAGGGTCAACTATTTTCATAAGGTTTGCAGGAAGGTATCTCGATAATGTAATCATTTTGTGCAGGTGTTTCGATCCGTACACGTAAAATGGTTTTGTTTTAATTTCAAACCATATCGGAGCATACACTCGGATGACGAAGTCTGCTAAGATACGCAAATTATGTGAAGGTTCACTAGTGGAAACAGATAGTCGAAGTATCCTGTTAGCTGTTGTCAGCCACCGTGAGTGAACAATCTTTCCGGGGGTTTCGCATGGCTAAACTTACGTCACATTATCCTCTGCTAACTGCGTCACATATTTCATACAAGTAAAGCTGATCTGTACTGAAATATCTGGTAGTTTACATGCGATGGGTGTAAATTGAACCACTGAAAGATTCTCACAACCCTTCAACGCTTTACCAATGACGCCTGTGAAACTTCTTGGTCCTGTAGTTTTCCCATCAAGATGCTCAAACAGATGTCGTACAGGAAGTTCGTTGGTATGCAATAGACACACGAGCCATTGAAGAGGGCGATGAAATTTTTTTTCTAGAAGACAAATGATTCCAGCATTGTTATCGGTGTCGACTGCCGTACCTTCGCACCCAATTGCTATTATTCGCTTCAAATCACACTTCAACGCCAAATAAAGGTAAAGTTTTTTTGAAATTGTGAGTGCATCTGCAGTGGCCAGTGTAATGTGCCCGATGTATTGCGAGTTCGGCTCTTTTACCAAGATTATGTGCTCTTCAACAACGGTTTTTCTGCGATTATCTTCATACAACATTGTTTTATCTTTACGGCCATCAAACGATATACAAACCAATGAATCATCGCCATCTAGCACGTTAACTGCAGCCCATGAACTTCTCGTTTGTGCGTGAGCGCGCCGAATTTTGCTACGGTCGATAAAACTTGACGTGTCACTCTCAGTAACCAGACCGATATCTTGCAACGTAGCCGACACGATGGCAGCACACGCACGGTCTAAAATGCCGTATCTATCTAATGTCATAGCTACCACTGGGAATTTACTAGGTCCGGGGACATTAATTGCGGGCACAATCGAGGTGACATTAATAACAGACAAAATTTTTGTTTTCCTTCTTTTCTGCTCAGGTTCATGAATGTGTAATGACATAGAGTTATCTTCAAATTGTTTTCTTTTTCATTTCCGATCAGACAAAGCCATATTCTTAAGTGTAACTTTTTTATCTAGAGATCCAATCATCATTCTTCTTTCGCCACGTTGATCGAGCAAAAACTCGTGTTCTTGTTTAGGAATTTTACGAGTTTTCTCACAAGAACATGTCGACAACGACTTGCACTTACAAGATGCAATATCAAACAAAACTTCACAGTCTTCTTTAAACTTCTGTAGTTTCTGTTTATAATTTTCGTTATCTTTACTCTTTTGGTAGGATTTCAGAAGGACGCGATGTTTGTCATGATAGGATCTTATTTTTGACACCATTGTTTTATGTTGTACTATTGGTAAAGAGGCTCGTTTCCAGATGTTTTCGACTTCGGTCGCAACAATATCACAAGTGGCCTGTACTAAATCTTGTCGTCCCTTTTCCGCACATCGTGCCACTGATACAAAGACATAATATTTCATTACATCACTGTAGGTCGGCAGCACATTTTTTGGTAATTCACAACCAGTACCGAAGATAGGCGACGAATAATTACTTCTTAAACTCATTATACTACTTTTTATGTTGTCTTATGTCAAATCTAGCTAAATGACTAATAACGCAGAGAACTATGCGACACAATTAACCCGCCTCCCGCACTCTCGCCTTTCCCCGTGGACTCCGGGCGGCGAAACGCTCGGCCAATGACCTTATATGGTAAAACAATGCGCGATTGGTAGATCAAAAATATGACGCCATAGGCAACATTGTGTAACTTTTTTTGCAATTTATATCATAGTGACACTTGTTCATATGTGAATAAAGGCATTTTTAAGAATAAAAATTTATTTAAAACCATTTTGCATGTCAAGAAAGTATACCTTTTCTTCGCACATTTTGAAAACTTTGCGAGCTATGCGGCAGTACTTCTAATTATATTTTGTATAAATGATATTACACGAGAGGGTTATGTTAGTGTCACAGCACCTTTTGCGAGTTCCGCCACTTCCATACTCCACAAAAAAAATATCCCATACAAGTGCGCTCCACCCTAATTAATATATATAAATCATATAGCGAAGTATAAATGAAGCTAATACAAAACAGTTATAAATTCCGGTTATTCACGAACCTTACAGTTGAACGAACATTTCGATGAACAATTTGCTCAATGCCTCGTGACGTGAAGTCAATGAACAAAATGTACAGTTGAGTTGCAGCTGGCAATCAACGATGTTATGCTATGTCAAATGAAATTTGTACTCTCTTTTAAATTATGAATAAGGGATATTTGTTTTGTAAACTGAAGTGACAAATAGACGTACCCGCCCACCTTATGAATAGTGGCTAATGCAGCTCATGGTGCTGAAATGAGAATCTGTTCATGGACAGAATTCAAACTGCTCATTAACAAAATAATGGTCATGAAGCCAGCCAGCTCATGCGGTACCTTGAGGATCACCAGCTGATTATTTACCGCCAGTGCGGTTTCCGTCGCGGTCGCTCGGCTGGTGATTTTCTAGGTTACCTAACTCATAAATGGGTGAAGGCAGTAGAGTCTAAGGCGTTGTTGGCGGTTAGCTTGTACATAGCGAAGGGTTTGTACTTCAATTGGGTTTGGCACAAAGCGCTTCTTACGAAGCTTCCTTCCTATGAGCTTCCCGAGAAATTGTGCAATTAGATCACCAGTTTTCTTTATGATCGGAGCATCAAGGTCGTAGCCGACGGTGCATGCTCCGATTACAAGCTCATTAACACTGGTGTTCCACCAGGCTGTGTGCGATCACCAACGCTGTTTCTTCTGCATATCAATGACATGTTGCAAATGGGTAACATTCATTGCTATGCAAACGACAGCACTGGTGATGCTTTATACATTGGCCGTGCCAATATTTTTCGGGAAAACGTCGCTGAGTACCGGGACAAACTTGTGTCTGAAGTCGAGACTTTGTTTAACATAATTTGGCACTTTGGCACTTCGAAAAGATATTGCATCTCTTTGCGTATTTTATCGCATCTACCACGGGGAGTGCTCTGAGGAATTGTGTGTTCGGAATAATTTCAGCCGCATAGTTTCACTATCGCACATCGCGACAAAACTTGCGATACTATACATACCATCTGGATGACTGACGGTATACCACTAAGCGATTTAAAAGAAGTTTTGTTCCTCGCACAACTTTCTTGTGCAATCAACTACCACCAGAGATTTTTCCGGATCGATACGACTTAGGGACCTTCAAGAAAAGAGCCCATTCCTTTTTAAAAGGCCGCAACGCATCTGCAATCCCACTGGTGTTGCAGCTGTTCGTGAGCGGCGGTAATCACTTACCATCAGGTGAGCCGTATGCTCATTTGCCTCCTCTCCTAAAAAAACTGAAATATGTCTAATTGATTAATTCTTCAAGTATGACCCGTCCTTTGGTGCGTAATTTAACGTCAAATACTCAGACTTAGAATAGTAATTTCCTGAACATACAAATACTCCTTTACAGACACAGATGGATTTTTACGTTATAGAGACAAACTATATTATCGTTGTAACCACGCTCTCACAGAATACCAGCGTAAAATAGCAGCTTAATACTGCTGTTTTGTGTGGTGAATATAGAGAGCAGGAGATCTTTTTTACTGGAAGCGAGGCATTCTATCTTAGTCCTCAGGTGTAACAAAGCATCTGAATTGTGATTCTTAATCGAGAATATAATTTAGATGTACCTTGGGTTGTGTGCTCGTTTTTCATTCTTATTCCATAAAAAATGGTAATCAAAGACAATGCTCGCAGCACCGCAGCCAAATGTATAACAACTGTGTTCCTGTGCTGCCCACTGTTTTCTTATGCACAGTACATATTCTGTATATTCGACAGTTTGGTCAAAAGTCGGCCAGTAAAAAATGTATGAACATTATGACCAAAGAGTTGCCAAAACTGCCGCTTAGCTTCATGAATATGTAAAATTCTTTAATGATTCAAATCCTTTAGTTGCTGCAACTTGAAAAAGCTTATTAGTAGAAGTGGATTTATATTATACTGCCTTTTGTTCTTGCATATTTTTACAAAAATGATTCCCACTTAGCGTTTCTTTGTACAGAAATTTCAAAAAAAAATTGTTGCTTAGCCTATATTACTACAAAATTTTGCCACATAGACGTAAATGATTCCATCATAATACATTTCAGCGAGTCTTCCCCTTTAGGATGAGCTCGTAAAATTCCAGTACTAGACAAGAACCTCTCTATTTGTGGATTTACCTCAAGTGTGATGCTTGTATTATGACATTTCGTAGTCAGATTGGCGATCAAAATACCAGACGTATGACACCCTTACGCTTTGCATACACCAAATCCATCATCGGCCGAAGTTTGCACGGGCGACAACGGCTGAACTCGGACGATCGAATCAAACACTTGTAAAACAAAGAGAGCGCGTACACATACACGACCGTTATCGTCCGATAACGCACAAAAACAGTCGATCAATCGTTGAGTCCGAACTTGTTAAATGTGGAAGAACTCAGTCTTGTTGATACCACCATTTTTCTTGGAATCACACTAGACGCAAAGTTTCAGTGGCACCCCCATATATCAAAACTAGCTAGCAGACTTAGTTTTGCAGCATATGCTGTAAAAAAAAGATTAGAACTCGTACCAGTGTTGAAACAGCTAGAATAGTTTACTTTAGTTATTTCCATAGCATTATGTCGTATGGTATTTTGCTATGGGAACACGCAACTGACACTGAAATTATATTTATTTTACAGAAGAGGGCCATTAGAGCAATATATATATATATATATATATATATATTTATATATATATATATATATATATATATATATATATATATATATATATATTTTGATGTTTGCACGGAAAACCATTCGTATTTATTTATTTTGACGGTAGGCTGCCAAATCGCTTATTCCTTTCCAAAACGATATCATTTCTACCCTCCTATCGACACATCGGGGTGGTGGGGTGGGAGGGGAAAGAAGATGATTCTAGAATATCACGTAATCATCGCAACCGAAGGTATAAAAGGCACGCGCGACCGACGCGCACCCTCTTCCCGCCGCGCTCGTTGTTGGAACCACACCGCTAGTAGAACCGCTTCAGCCTGGAAGCAGTCGAGCTCCAGGAAACCCGCCTCACCTCGTGTGAGATATAGTCGAAGAGCGAGTGCATTGTACCGCATGCTATAGTCGCCGTTTATATAAGTGTAGAAACATTTTGTAGATACAGTCCACTTATATTAATAGCTCTCGTAATGGGTTTTAAGGTTCGACCGGGGAATTAGACTTCGGCAACCTTAGACTCGACGCTCCACCATATATATATATGAGAAAATTTAATTAATTAATACATTTATGAAAATTTAATTTACGTACGCAAGTAGTTTTGCAAAAATAAGTGATATTCATTCTGTAAATACTAGGAACAGACACAAGCTAGTGGTTACTCGACTCCACCGAGTCAGTAATTCATTCTTGGGGCGATGTATACGCTTTACAACAAAATCCCAGAAAATATACAAAATTTCTCATACGCAAAGTTGAAAAATTTTATTAAACTAAGTTTGTATAAAAAGGGTTATTATAACATTAAGGAATTTATGGATGATAACTCCTACTTATATACCATGATTGTAAGCTATTATTTGAAAAAAAAATAGTCCCGCTGGATTTCTTACTGGTTTTTCCCAGGAGAGAGGTTTTTTTTTGCGAACCAGTGGTAAATGAAAAAAATAACTTTCAATAAGTATTGTTCATAATCTATATTTAATAAAAGAGTTTCTGTTTCTGTTGGAATTTCTCGCCTGACTGCCGGCATCTACAGCGCCAATTGAGTATAGTGTAGGTCCTAGTAGTTCTGTCCGCCATCGGCCGACAAAATCGGTTTTGGTGTACACGTACTGTTAGAGGTGCTTCCCACCACTACTCTGGGTTTTTAGGCCTGGGGTAAACAAAAAGATTTTGCTAGCTAACGAAAGCTAACAAATCTTTCGACATTCCTTATAGACGTTTTCAATAACTTTTACATTCCGAAATCGTGTTAAGCGAATTGGATTTGGTGTAATGATGGAAACTTTTACATTGCTACGACACGGTAAATGGGTATTTCGTTATAAATTTCCTTTGTTTAGAAATGGAATATTACTGTAACAAATATTATTAAATATACACGTATTCCTCAAATTCTTAAAACAAGAGTATAACTGGTGTGTGTTATCAGAGATACGTAATGGATTACGGCTGGCCAGGTATAGAAGAAGCTACAGAAAACTCAAGATTGTCTATATTGTCATTGTTTTATGCTTATTGTTGTATTTTGATGGAAATGTAAATCTGTAAGTTGTAAATTATTAGAAGCACTTAATATCATACGACAAAATTAATATATTTGATGATATCTACAGAAGCAATACCCTAGTCTACGTGTAGCACAACATAACATCGTAAGACGCAGACGTGGCCATTTTTTCCTAGCAAAATAGCGTTATAAATTCAAGGTAATATATCGCGGAAACATGGCAACAATCCCTTTTTATTCCCTTAAAGTTTTTCTTACA